TGGCTGACTAAATACTTTTTTGCCCCACTGTACCTCAATGGCAGTTTGATGCAATTGTGCATTGTGTGGCTACAAAGTTTGCCTTGATGTTTGGTTATTTGTATGCATAAATATTATGGAGTATTTTGAAGTTATATATGCTGCCATCTTCTGTTTCAGTCCGTTATTACACTCTTAAATACTACTACTTATTCCTGCGTCTTTTGTGATTTTACAAAGCTTCAAACGACGCGTCGACGACTGATTTAACAGTCGACGCGTCGATTTCGATGTTCGTGACTAGTCGACTAATCGTGGCAGCGCTAATACATATATATATATACACACACACATATACACACAGATAGATAGATACACAGAGAGAGAGAGAGAGAGAGAGAGAGAGAGAGAGAGAGAGAATCAAATGGAAATGTACTCTTGCCTCTTGCTCTCATGCCCAAGATTTTATTTTTTTTCCCCCACATAGCAGCATTTACTTAAATAGAAGTTTAAAATCTGAACTCAAGGGAAGTCTCTTAATTTCTTTTCTTCCCCTTCTTACTGCAGCAAAAAAAAAAAAAAAGCAAAAACAAAAACAAAAAACAAAACACAGTTTGGCCATTTAAACAACTTCTGAATGTGTTCTGAAAAACTCTCAACATACAGAACCCATGGATGTGAGCCACGCAGGATGTGAGCCACGCAGGATGTGAGCCACGCAGGATGTGAGCGGCTGAGACCGTTCCAGTGTCACCGAAAGGGACAATAAGACATTAGGTTCCATTAGGTGGAAATAAAAGAAAAAAAACAAACAAAATACAGTTTGTTTCACACAGTCAGTTTCACACAACATAAGGGGAACTGAAACGTTGTAATCTAAAAATGTTCAATGTGAAACCATAAGCATGGAAACCAGCATCAGCCTGCAAAGTAAGACTGTACTACTTACAGCTGAATGTAGCAATTGCTAATGATCCCAACCACGCCACACAGTCGGGCTGTAAAACAGCTGCCACATTCTGCCTGCCTGGGAAATTCCCTGACAATAGCACGAAGTCCCGGTCACACCTTCACTAAATACTGTCACGAGTGCACAGATGACGGGACACTAGCCAGTATGCTGAGTAACATTGCTTAGAGGTTTCAATGTATTGTACCATTTATCACAAGAAGTACTGAGGTGTAAACTGCTAACGAGTCAGAACGTTTTAACAACAACTGCAGATCATCACCAAACAACTGCTACTACACCAACAACAAATGCACCAACAAAGACCTTTGTTTTACTAAAGCATACTGAATCTCTGATCCACCTCTTAGTGTGTGTACAGGTGGCATTATTTCAAATGACAGCATCTGGGTCTTAAAACTGAAGCCAGCATAGAAACGCAGAGAGGAAGTAGCGGATCCAAAAGCAGCTCAATTCCCAAACACTTAGTAAAGTTAAAACTTTACAGCATTAAAAAGCAGGGCACCAGTCACAGCTTCTCTATATAATCGAGTCTGTGCATGAAGTATGTCAGGCCAGTTGTGCAGCAAATACAAACAGAGGACTAAATTATTGCAAAATTTGAATCTGCGCTGCAGTTGATGAAAACAATTCTGTTTTTCCTCTTCTCTCTTGGTGCTTAAATTTGAACCAATGAGTCTTTCACAGAAAAACCCCTCAACAGAAGCTTAAGTGTGATCACACTTTTAAAGTTCCTCAAAGCTTCAATGCACCAACTTCCCACATTTAACATAAATGAAAGCAACTTAACTGTTCGGAGGAGTTTGGACTGTCCTTGGTGGGACTGATCTGGAGACCGCCACCCCAAGGACTTTAAAGCTGTGCTGATTAAAGAGTGAACAGTTCACCGCATGCTTCCTGGTGCACAGACACTCACTTTACTATTCTGCAGAAGAGGAAGCCCAGCTGTGTGTCTGCCTCAAAATATATGTATATTTTTTAAAAAGTTTCAGCTTCAGCAAGCTGAGATATGACAAATGGAAGAAATGAACACGATGTACGCTGCTTCAACAACACCTCTCCTCTGACCTCTGACCTCTAAAACATGTGACCTGACACAGCCAGAGTATTAATTTGAGGGGTTTTTTTTTACATTCACTGTATGAACAAACATCTCCCTCCAGCAAAATCAGCCATCCAAGCAGCCGTCTCTGTGCACTTTCGTCTACTCCACAACTCTTACAGATGCTGCACTGAGTGCACAAGTTTGAATTTATTTAGGATTTTTTCTAATCCACAAAGGGTCACAATTATTGGGTGGCTGTGGCTCAGGAGGTAGACAATCAAATCAGAAGGTCGATGGTTTGATCTCCGGCTCCCATAGTCTTGCATGGCCAAGTATACATCAAAATACTAAACCCTAGGTTGTCCCAATCAATCATTGTGTGAGTGCATGTGTCAATTCAAGGACACATCCGGGCTTAAAAGGAAGTGCTGGTATAAATGTGTGAATGGGTGAATGAAGCATGTAGCAGAAATCGAGTAGAGAGTGGAAAAGTGCTATAAAAGTACAGTCCATTCAACATTATACATAGATTTGGTAATATGCATACATCCACGCAAATATTTAGTTTGACCAAAGGCTTTTGCTAAGCATCAAGTTTCTGAC